ACTTTTATATATAAATGTAATGTCAAAATATTATATATCATAAAAAATGAATGAAACTATTAAAAAAAAACTTGTAGTAAATAACATTTTTTTATATTACTCAATCTTCACTAAATGTTCAAATTTATATAATTTAATTTTATCTTGCGTATCGCACGAGCTGTTTTGTAGTATATCCATACCTATATAATCGATCAACTGCTATTTTAGATGGATTTTTTTTGCACTTAGTTTTTTTTTTCTTACCTAAATATTAGTTAAAAAAAATATATTATTCCAAATGACATATGGAAAAATAATTTGTCCCTAAAGAATCATTTCAGATCATGTAAATTCTCTATGAAATATTTCACTTTAAATGTAGCGAAGAATTATATATACATAAATAATATTATGATTCTTATCTAATTATACAATATTTATTATAATTGTCATGTGCAGTTGACAGATTAGATACATTTGTTTTGTGAATCACAATTCATAAATTGCAGTATATATAATTAGACTAGCAAAAGAAAAGCACAAACATATAAATTATATATTGTTATATATGTAATGTAAATGAAAGAAACTGAATTTACTCAATACAATATTTGTAAGAGGAGACAAACACGCAAACTTGATCTGATTATATATATATATATATATGGAATCTAAATGAGAGACTGAAATTAATTTACTCAATACAATATTGACAAAATTGCAATTTTAGTCCTGTTAGTTTGATCCAATGACATTTTTAGTCCTAAAAATTGAGAACATCTTTGCAATTTGCAGGGACGAAGCCAAAAAATTAGTTGAGAGGAGACAAAAGACATGACATAATTTGTAAAAAATAACAAAACTGCATAAAAAAAAAAGTTACCTTATAATTACAATTGTTAGCTTTGTGAGTGATGTTTAAAAACAAAAATTTGAGGGTACAAAAATTAATTTAAGAAGGGGGAAAATTAAAATTTTTAAATTAATAGAACAAAAATAAAATTTTTTTTGGGGCGCCTCTAGGCTATTTGGTCCTATGATTTTAAAATTCAATGCAATCTTAATCCTTTAGAATTGAAAATGCAACAAAATTTAAAATTACATAACTTAAATTGCTAATAAAAATCTTTTGGATGGATTTTTTGTTAGCAATTTAAGTCCTGTAATTTTAAATTTTGTTACAGGATCAAAAGAGAAAAAGTTAAAATCTTGGACTAAAAATGTTATAGCATTAAAACAGCAGGACTAAAAATACAATTTTGTCATACAATATTTGTAATAGGAACAATTGAGTTCTTATTCTAGTTGGAAAAAAACACTACCATGGAGAGATTGTTATGATCGCACACTTAGTATATATACTAACTTGCTCTACCCCATTACTTTCAAAACCATCAACTTTTCTGAAAAAAAAAAATAAAAAAAATATAAAAAATATATTTATATATCTTAAGTAAATTTTGAAAAAATAGTGAAATATGCCCAATTTCACTCTTACTTCATTATTGCTACAAACAGCCATAGTATTTCTTTTAATGACAAATTCTTTGAGCATTGACAACAATACTATTCAATTGATAAATGAGATTTGTAGGCGCACACTCAATAACAATTATTGTGTAAGTTTTTTTAAGGAGCATTTGTACGCGCCCAAGACCGATGCTAAAGGACTAACGCAAATAGCCGTCTCACAAACGATAATACACGCGACGGACACGCTAAGATTCATATCGACGTTGATGGACTCGGAGAAGAATGCGCAGGTGAAAAATCTTTATATGATTTGTGAAGTTGGTTACGAGAACTTGGTAAATGAATTTTCAGAAGCCAGTTTGGCGCTAGCACAAGGAGACTATAGTAGCGTG